TACTCAAAAATTAATGTGACTGATATACGTTTTTTTCCTTTTCTCAACTATACTCGGTTGCGACATAGTCCAGAAAATATGGTGCTGATTTGATGTCGTATTTTCACCGTGAATGTAACAATATTAACGATACACATTTTACAGGTACATGGTATTAACCTTTTCAATCACCAGCTGCTGCGAGTAAGGGATCAGGGAGGCAGGCAAAGACCTCAGGTGGGAAGGAGTGGAGCGGGGCTATGCTACAGGTTCTGCAGACTCGTTGTGATGATTTTTTAGCTTAGACTGGCAAATCGTACCAGTGAAATTGCATACCTGCTACGCAAAATGTGTACAGGTTGGCAGGTCTGATAATTATATAAAAAGATATATTTCTAATAGACAGACCTGCAATAATATTATGGAGGCAAAAATGTTTGGCAATAAAACCAAGGCAGATTATTTCTTATTTGTTTGATTTAAAAAAAAAACACACAAACAACATATTCTGCCTTAATTTCCTTTGAGTCTGTCCGATATCATTTCCTTCATACCACTGTATGTTTTTGCAGTCACATTCCAGAGAGTGCTGCAGCGTTCCCAAAAGAATTCTTTGTGGTTGAAGACGACTGCAGTAATGAAAAAGAAAAAAAAAAAACTCACGGATGGGTAATAAAACAGGAACGTTTGCTGTGTTGTGCTGTTGATGTTTTTTGACCTGATTTCTTTGACTCAACAAAAGAGAGGAACTCACTTGAAAGTTATACATTCAGTCTAATGTACCTTTGCTGCTTGTTAACAAAAGCAGGTTTTGGCATCATGGGATTTCAGTGCAAACAAAGCTCAATTGTTTTTTATGAATTTGCCTCCTTTTTATGCACATAATATAAAACATCGAAGCAGGCTTTTTTTTTTAATTGCCAAACTGAGGCACAGAAAAATATTGTGTCCCCTTATAACAGATAATACAGCTCCAACCACTCCAATACTGTAATACATTCTCACACTAACAACTCTAAAATGTAAAAAGGCAATAAAACTTTATACTTGATGATGATGATCCCAGTTGATTGGGCTCTCACAACACAATAAACAGTCATTTCAGCTAAATTGGAGCCAATTTCAAGTTATGATGCTGCAACAAATCATGGTAATTAATCTCTTAACATTTCTCATCATCAAACATTTAAACCTGATTCATTTAAAACTTCCCAATACATACATCTTTACAGTAAGGAAGAATTTCTTCCATGTCTACTTTGCCATTAAGTTCGATCCCCAGTTTGTGTGCACGTTTTGATTCCCAGTTAAAAACTTGCAGTACTTCTACTAAATTATGGCAGTACTTCGCAAATATTGGGGGAGAGGTCTTCCAATAGAATATGGCATGCTAGACATAAGTGTACCACTGCTGTAATGCTTGAATGATAACAAGCCTCCAGTCACTAGGTGGCAGCAACTCATACAGTGGTTTGTACAGATAAAAATATACATGTAATGCATGGGTGCATGGTTACAAAGGTTGGACTAATGACTCATTCACAATTAGAGTTGTTAATCCATTAATATGATGAATGATATAATATTTTTAGTATTGTATTTTTATCATCTTTACGTGTATATAGGCAAAAGGAAAATAGTATTCCGTGAAAGGTGGAAATCAGCTGAAGATGCTGGCTCAATTTTACAGAAGCAATCATGTTATAATATCATACACATAACTTGATGGCAATTTCACATGATGAGCCTTTTGTTTTAAGTGGTTATAATTTGTTTGCCCTTGTGTCTCTGTTGATGACAGTCATGCTCTATAAAGGAGCATGTGTGTGTGCGTGCATCAGTACACACCAGTTATGGCTCTGCGAGCGCATTAGTACTCTTGCACAACCATCTGTGTAATTACAGCACATCCACCTGCTACTTTACATAAACTTGAGATTTGCAGCTGTTTGAGAATGTGGCAAAGTTGAAAAAAATCAGATTTTAATTGATCCAAAAGGGAGAATATACAAAAAAATATGTATATATATATATATATATATATATATATACTGTACACATATTTGTTCATGTTGAGCAGATTTTAAAGCATATTCCAAACACACACACTCGCACATGCACACACAAACTTAGATTTTACCTCCTGGCAATATTGCAGGATGCCCTCCTTGGTGCCGATGCAGCTTGTGGTTCCTGAAGGATCTGGCTCCCACTTACCGCTCTGCACATTGATGTGCATGTTGAGTTTTCCACAGAACATGGCGACCTGTGGCTCCGCCAACAGCCCTGTGGAAATATCTGTAGGCACCTGGATGTGGGAGAAGGAGAAAGAAACAGAGCGAAAGGAGTAAGATAGGATGACTTAATGAGACATAGCACTTTTAATGAAAACCGCAATTAAATTCTTATTGCCAGGATGAAGCAGGGATCAGTAAGTTTAAGTTTAAGATGAAAAGACACAGAGAGAGATGAGGACAGAGTGTGTGGTGATCATTTTCCTCCCTCGACCTCATCAACAGTGTTTGATTTGTTTTTGTAATTGCATTCTTAGCAGTGCAAACATCTCTGCTCATGTTTACCAATCTAGTGTTTTCAAGAGCAACCTGGACGGAAAAAAGAAGCGCAAAGCAAAAAAGAGAAGTACATAAAAAATCAATAATTTCACGTGAACAAATAGCCTCAAACAACAGCCCCCGAGCAAATGATTCTCTCTGTGATGTTTGTGCTCAGGCGTGCACACCCACTGATTTGTAATGTTGAAGAAACAGTGCACGACCACAGATTGCTTTCATTTTTTCCCCAGCAGAGTTCAAGGTTTATGTAACCTTCTGTTCATTTGTTTTTGCTTCATTTCACTCCATTAATGTGGCTCACACCACACATTACAGCAGCGTGGATGGCAGCACAGAAATAGAGAGAGTTTGTGTATGTGTGTGTGTCAGTGTGAAATCTCACTAAATAAGTCAATGCAAGCTTCGGAAAAACATTTATTTTTATGAATGTACTTCCTCTGTAAAAAAGGTTGTTAAAAGCAGATATTTAAGATTACCATACACAAAATTCCACCCACACAAACAATAGAGAAATATTCAAAACTGGAGACGTAATAGAGAATAATAGAGAAATATTCAAAACTGGAGACGATTTCAAATCATTGTGGGGGAATAAATGTTTTGTTACAGGGGAAATCAAGAGTGTAATTAAAGGATGTAGAAAAATGAACCAAATTCTCAGGGTAATTTTGCAAATTAAGCATTTGAAGTCCAGCTATTGTACAATGTGGTTAAGTGTGTTTATATGAAGACTATGTTCAGTTTATGCCCTAAAAATTACATGATTTGGGGAGAAATTAACATTTCAATTTAAACATTTCATTCACTGCATGTAACAAAAACATTTTTGCAACAGTGTAATCTTGAACCTCCATGTTACATCCAGGGCTCTGTCTGACCAACATACAGTCAAGTGATTCATTTTGTGTGATGCCATCATGTCAGTGTGGATTAAGTGTTTCCAGCATCTCATCTTCCTGCCATTAGGAATTAAACATTTTCAAAGGCAACATCAAGGTCAGACCAGGCCCTAGCAGGTCGCTCTTAATGGATTTTTTGTAACTATACATTAAAGGAGATTTCCCCTGTTTAAGCTTTAATGGACAGAAACACCAAATGTTGAGAATAGAATTATTAGAGGATCAGCTGTACCCTGTCCACTCAACCATGAACTGCAAATCTTTTGTTCAGTGTATGTAAGATTGGTATTGTCCTCCTCTATAATTACCCGACCCTTGCCTTTGGTGTAAATGTATACATTTCTTAATAAATAAAAAGTTGTGTTTGTGTGCTTGACTGAAGCAAACACACAAAGACAGTCAGGTGTTTTTGTCAGTGATGATGTGCAGACAAGCCACTGAATGTCTGCATTGTGCTGGCAAATGAGCTCTAACAAAATATGTTAGGCAGAGAGACAGAGAGAGCGAGAGAGAGGGAGAGAGGGAGAGCGAGAGAGGGAGAGAGGGAGAGAGGGAGTTAGAAAAGAGATGGCTGCCATTGTGTGCTGCCTAATCGTGTTAATGGTTTTTGAGGCCCTGACAGGCAAACAAATGCTGTTTTGTGAGATGGATGGGATTTTTTTTCTTGCAGACTTGATTTGCCTCCAAGAAGCTGCAAGCATAAAATCCTCTCTCCAAAATGAGAAGGGCTGGCGGGCAGATCAATTTGGATTCAATTTGAGACTGAAAGCTCAAATGTTTGGATCAATACAACAGCCATGTATGTGGTGTCTCACTGAGGAAAAATGGACAGCATCAGCTCACATTAGGTGCGATTGCGCCGCACTGACCATATTTACGCAACTGGCCAATTGAAGGACGGCACTGGTCTCTCTGAGCTGCAAGTTCATTTTTCTTACAGAGTGCATTTTACAGAATGGAGCAGAGAAACAGAGGATAAAATCACACAAGAACAGACTGATTGATGACTGATGACTACATTTACATAATGCGTAGTAATGTAAATAATCTGTGAAGTTGAGTTGGGCTACTTTAGTAAAGATAATAAGTGAATTCTTGTCACGGTTTTGGACCGTGTGAATTTATAATGTATTGTATCAAAACAAACCCTGTCATACTTGTGTCAATCATTTCCAGTTTAATTCTGACACCAACAATGTTTACGCTGAATAACTGTAATGTGTCTCTAATTTGTTTTTATTTTGACAGTGATATACTGTAGCAGCACACAGATTTCAAAATAAGATCATACCTCAAACTGTAGGGATATGCGATTTACAGCCTGTAATGTCAGAAGCTGCAACGTGATAAATCACTCGGCCAATATTTGACAGCTTTACTGGATTTCATTTTTTTCTATTTCTTGTAACTGTGACAATTTTTTAGCAGCAACCAAACAACAACATGAGAAATGAACCATCACATCCTCCTACAATACACAGGAAGTGTTTTAAAATATCTGCTAATGACTAAACATACACTTCCAGGTTGTTGTTTATTTTAATTTTCTTATAAATGCACAAGTATTTAACCTACTGAAAGAAAAGGTGTCTACGGTGATTGCTTTTACTTCACTAACATGTAAACTTGATCTTGTGCTACAAATTGCCAGATTTCTCAAGAACTTGCTCCTCGTATCATACACAGTGATGGTATGAATATAACACAGTTCCTTACAACCACACACAAAACAAGAACATACACCCAGGTGGCCATCAGTCACGACTCAGAGTCATCTTGGGGTAATTCAGGATTCTGACATTTGATTCCCACGCTGCCATCTGTGCAGACTGTATAGACAGACTGATAAAGACCCATCCTTTATGACTTTGTGAATGGACCGTGCAATTCAAAGTGAGAGAAATAAAGAAAGTTCCAAAATAACCTTTAAAAATTCATTTGCATGCATGGCAAGTTTTAATTAACTCACTTCCTTCCTTCCCTGCCACCCTATGGTCTCTCCCTGTCACTTACTGAAAAAAAAATTAAACACCTTTCCTTTCTGCTTGCAGCACAGGTACACAAATCATCACCGGTGGCTCGATGACATTTAAATTCTTTGTGTCATCCCCTTTTGGCAGGCAAATCATACCCTCACCACCGCTCACACACACACAGACCGACACCCGTTTCCTTCCTGCTGTTCCACTCTGATATCGGCACAATTCAATCTCGTCACTGAGGAAAATGGAAGAAGGAGGAGGCAGGGATTGTAAGCGTATTAATCCAGGTCCTCCAATGTTGGTGAAGGCAGGAGGTGAAAAAGGGAAGGTGAGGAAAAAAACAATAACCAAGGTGGGAGGTGAGAGAGATGGAAGACGTGACGGATTGAAGAATAAGGCTTTGGGCCCCAGCAAGGGTTCAAGCACTGTGTTAAATAGAACATAGGCAATGGGGGAGGGGTGATGGAGGGTGGGAGACAGAGCAGGATGTTGGAGTGATTGTGTTGTCTGAAATAGAGGAAATGCCTGCAACTTCCAGCTCAGCAGAATTAATTTTTTTTTTTTATTATTTTATGGTATAAAAATATCAACATGTGGCACTTTGGCCAGGCAATGTCGCTGTCATTGGTGTAGAAGCCCAGGATTCACCTCCTGGGCAAGTTTGAATCCCGGTTAGGGCGGTTGGTACCTTCCAGTGGACTCACCACCTGCAGGAAGGTTCGGGTAGGTTGGCACGGTGCCATGTGATTTGGGTGGCGGAGATTGCTGCCCCCGCGACCCGGTAACAGATAAGCGGATGAAAATGGATGGATGGATGGATGGAAAAATATCAACATTCTTTATGGTATACTGCAGTAACATACTGTATAAATTGAGCAATTAACAATATAGCACACAATTATATCTCCACCAGCAGTCTAGGCCTATAGCAGCTTCACAAAACTTGACTCTAACCTGACGTTTGAATTCTAGAGCAAATAATATGGTTTTTCCTTCATATTTTTCTTCATTGTCACCATGTGCTGGCTTACTTGGTGAGCTAGTGGGATCTTCTTTCTATGCACATTATATAATATACTGGCATTACAACCGTTAATTTTATTTTTTTTTCATTTGAACACTACCTCAATAGTATAACACTATTTTATATTGTCATTTTATTTCTTTACATTGTTAGATTTTTTTTAGTGTTATATTATCTATATTTATAGTACTTTTTTTACCAGAGTAACCGATTTTGTACCACCACGTGTTAAAATAAAAATCCTTGAATAAGTTTATGATTTGATCATACAGTGATCCGTGACACAAGGATTGCAGCATTGAGATTTTTTGTTAGCACTGTTTACATTTTTCAGTGAATTGCAATAGTGTATGTGAAAATTATAATGATGGAACAAACAGGTATGTGTAATATTTGGGGAGCCTTTATTAATCATTGAAGAACAGACTAAGATGCCTGTTAAGCGTTTGCTTTTTCGCTCCCATTAATGTGACACTCACCTCTACTCTGACTGTCAGCAGAAGGATGCTGAAAAGTC